AGAGTCACGGGTCGGAGGAGCCAGGAACGGGCTAGGGCCACCCCTCCCCTCCCGCTTATTTTTCTCTTTCGGAGTAAATGCGTTTTGTCGCTGCACAGCCTAATGCACAGAGGCTCTGGGACATTTGGAAAAGTAAGAAACGGGCAGTGGAGGGGGTGGGGTCATCCATGACACGCAGAGATAACCACTGCGGCATTTTCTGGTGCATCTCCTACCCTTTTATGTAAGAAGGATTTTCACGTGATTTCCTTGAGGAACAAACCTGCTGGATAATGTCTGGAGTTGGGAGCCACCAGAAAACCCATCTTTTCTACGGCTTTGAGAAGTGTGTTGCTCAGTCGCGTTTCTTCAGCCTCCAGGGGAAAAGGCCCGTGTCCCTCCTCAGTCGGTTCCCCTCTTTGCCACGCCTGTCTGCAAGCCGCCCCGTGTCACGTGGCTGCCTCGCTGCTCGTGCTTCCCCCCGGTGCTGGGGAGACTTATTGAAGTCTCGCACCCACGTGGGTTAGTCCCAGAATAGGCTCGGTCCCATTCAAAGACTTACAGATCGAGCCAAAAACTAATTAAACTCGGATTCCATTCCTTACCCATGCCCCTCGAAGATGTCAGAGGACCCCAATTCATAGCCTCGGCAACCTTCTCTTCTCCCTCTCCAGCTCCCTCGATCCCCGCCCGCCAGGCCCTGGGCTCCCTCAGCTCTGCCGCCAGCCCTGAGGGGCGCACTCTCTTTCTTTCCCTCTTAATTCTTTAAACCGACTTAATCTTTCTCCGGTTCCTCCATGCAGGGGGACCTCTGCTTCTGCATCACCAGAAATCCGGGGCCCAGAGGGGCAGAGAGAGCCCCTCTTCAAAGGCTGTGGGAGCAGGGGGTCAGGGGAGGGGCAGTCACAGTTGCAGGGGTCGGATTGGCAGGCTACGGGGGGGGAAGGACTGTGATATTCGATCGTGTTCTGAGGACAAGTCATGCTCTGAATTAGAAGTGGCCCATGGGAGCCACCAGCCCTCTTGCAGAAGGGGAGTGGACACTTGGCAGGTCATGATAAGGGATTCCTGTCCTGGGCTCTTATAGAGCCTCAGGGCATGGAGCGTGCAGGGGTGCTGCCCTCCTCCCCAGAGGTGAACCATAAATGTCCACTTTGGTTACCGTCTACCCTGCCTGGGCCTGAAAACACACAGCCCCTCCCTCCCTGCCTGGCCACGGGGGGAAGGCAATGTCAAGGGTGTGTTCGGGGCAGGCTCCCAAGGCGGGACTCATGATCTCCTGTGTTGGCAGACGGGCACCGCCTGGCAAGTGTCAGATCCAGCCCGCCCAGGTGAAGGTGAAGAGCCGCCTCATCCACTTCGTGCCTAAAGAAAGTAAGTGTCCACCAACGGGGACACAGCAGGGCAGGGGAACCCCTACAGCCCACACCCAGCCATCTCTCCACCAGATGGGGTCCTTCCAGCCGCACCTCGGTGTCCTGCCTTGGCCCCTGTGCCCAGCACCGTGCCGGGCACACATTAGACACTCGGTTAAGTGGGGAGAACTCCTTAAACCACCATCCACCCTTGTGATGTCTGCTAGTCCCAGGCCAAGGGACTGTAGGTGTCAGAGAGGGGCAAAGGGAGACATAGATAGTGCCAGGCAAGGGACACTCAGATTTCTTGAGAGGGACAAAGAAAGAGAGTGTGTCTGTGTGTGGACCAGGAATATTGGAAAGAGTAATTCTAGGAGCAAGGGCCTGTATCGGAGGGAGTATTCGGGCTGGGCCTGTCAGAAATAGTTTGGACAGGTCGGTGGGAAGGCTCTTACGACCTGAGGGCCAGGCAAGGCCACCAGCGACTGCCCCTGGGACCAGGAGCTAATGCAAAAGGTTCCTCTGGGCCCAAACGAGGTGAGAACAGAGACCCAGTGCTCCTAGAGCTTCCGGGCCATTTTTTTTTTTTTTAAGGCGAGGCAACCCTTGGTTGACCTCACAGATTGCAAGGACCTTGTCAGCTTACAATCCCTTATTTATTTTTATTTTTTATGCCTACAGCACCTGGTCTTCCTAGGTGGTCTCCCATCCAAGTACTAACCAGGCCTGACCCTGCTTAGCTTCCGAGATCAGATGGGATCGGGCTTGGCCAAGGTGGCATGGCCATAGACTAGAGCTTCCAGTTCTTAAGGGAAGCAGGGAATCCATCCATCCATCCATCCATCCATCCATCCATCCATCCATTCATTCATGTAGCACACCTGTGCTTCATTCTGGGACTCTAACGCTGAGCAAGGCGAATGTGGTCCCTGCCCTCTAGAGCTGTACAGAAAGCTGCTGATTTGAAAACAGTGGCATCCAGCTCAAAATTTTGAAAACGACCTCATGGGCCAAAGGCACTACTTCAGCAGGCGGAGTGTGCCCAGCAGGTCCCCAGCTGGTGGACTGGGTGTGGGGGTTGCAGAAAGAGGGGGAGGCAAGGTGCCTGGGCAGGTAGGAGTGCCCTGGGAAGAGGAAAGTTGGGGGAAGCGATGAGCTCACCGTTTGGGGAGGTTACTTTGAGCCTCGGTTGGCTTCGGGCTTGGCCCGTTTTCCGTTCACTCATTCAGCAGTTTCCGGCACTTTTGTTAGTGACCCGCTCTGGGTAGGATGCCGGAGCCACAGGCGAAGCCAGACCAGGCCATGTCCTGGCTGGGACACACAGAGAAGTCATTTAGTGTCCTAGGCCCAGTGACAGAATGGTGTGCTGAGTGCCATGGGGACCCGGAGCAGTGCAGGGTAGAGTGGGGGTGGGGTGGGGGGTGGTCCTGGAGAGGGGGCTGAGTATTGAGCCCCGGAAGGTGGGGGGAGGGGCGTCTAAGCAGAGGGAGCAGCAAGAGAGGTAGCCTGGGGGCCTGGAGGGGCTTCGCCCTGACTGGAGGGTCCCTGGGCAGTCGGGTTCCCATCCTGCTGTCCGTGGTGGCCCCTCTGCAGTTTTCTCATTAGTGGGCCTCAGCCCTCCCACTCTTAAACCAAAGATGGCAACTGGAAATGGCCTTGCCGCGAGAAGCCCTCCAGAGGCTGCTCCTCCACTGAACTCATGAGTTTGTAGTGTGAGGGTCGCCCCCCCACCCCCCAGACTCAGGACTTCCAGGAGGGCAGGGCTGGGGGTGGAGGGGAGACCCAGAAGCAGGCTGGCACAAAGGAGCTGCCAGCAAGTGTTTGTAGAATGACTGAAGAAGCACCTCGCACCCGGCTCCAGGCTCACACCCTTGGGGCCAGGGTGAGCTGAGGAGCACCATGGTGACCCGAGAGTCAGTCATCCTTAGCATCTGAATGGAGGGCAGAAGGAGGACATCTTTCCCTGGGGTCTGCATTCCAGAGTAGAGAGCCGGGGCGGGTTAGGGTGCCCAGGGTCCCTCTGATCGCAGACTCTTTTCTCTGTGCAGAGTTCATCCGGAGGGCTGAGAGC